CCGGGAAGATCAGCCTCAAGGAAGGCTTTGACGGCGACGGACACTTTGTCCGGCTCAGTCGACTCGGGCACTGCAGTGGCAATGACTTGATCGACCAAGGAGCGACGGTGCTGGTTGTTCTCGCTCAGGACAAAGGACCAGATCTCGGGATCAGCCCGCTCAACAAGGTAGCGCGCCTGAGCACGGTACATGGCATTCTCGTTGGTGATGTTGATGAGCTCGAGATCATTCTGTCCCTTACGGTAGGCAATGTATGCGAGGTTGGGATCCCGCTTCTCGCAGTACTTTCCAACGGTCAAAGTGTCATACATGTCGTTCTCCTTCAAGAACTTCTCGGGATTGTTGTTGCTGTCGATGTAAATCTTGGCCAATGCGTTGTAGACGGCTTGCTGCTGGTTACCCGTCGCAAGGGTAGCCTCAAGGAAGGGCAGAAGCAACTTCAACCGGTTGCGACTCTCCACCTCGGAAACAAGCTCGTCGATGGGTATCACAGCCGGGTCAACAGTAGAGAGAAGGTTCTTGATGATGCTCTCGTCACAGTCGACATCCAACAGACCACCGACGACAGCAGGCGCACGCGAGGGGTTGACACGCTGAACGTAAACCTCGATAGACTTGTACTGCTGGTTCTGGTAGAGGTAGAGAACCAAGTCGTGGATGAAGTTGAAGCGATCGCACACAATGATCAGCGGAAGCTGCTCGGTCAACTTGGCCTCTTTCAAGAAGTTCTTAACCTTGTCGGGGTTGTAGTAGTTGCTCTCGCGACAGATGCGCTCCACTTCCGTGATCTGGTTCATAGCAGTGGCAGCTTCGATGTACTTGAAGTGCACCTCGGGGTCTTCGCTAAGGTTAACAATACTGCCAAGGTAATAGTAAAGACCCTCGGCGGTACGGTATTTCTCCAGCAAGGCAATCAAGCGAGAGGGGCCAAGGAGGTCAGAGAACTTGGTACAGATCTGGACAACGGCTTGCAGATTCTGGCGGATGTTAACCTGCAACATGGTGTCCATGCAGTCAAGCGTCTGCTCAACGGACAGCTTGCCGAAGTATTCCATCAACCAATCGGGGCTCAATTTGTCGGTACGAACAATATTCCTCTTGATGGCCGCCGGGTCCTCGGTGTTTTCAAGAGCACGCTGGATGAGGCCAGCATTCTCGCAAAGCTGGGAGATCCGAGGACGGTCGTAGTGCGTGAAAATCTCATTGCCAAGAATGGCATCAGCAACCTGGGGGGCGTTGACAAGGTTCATCTCGAGCAAACGAGTCTGAAGATGGCCATGCTCGGGCTTGTTATCCTTCAGGGCATCGAGAAGGAACGAAGTGGCTTGCTGGATCATGTTCTGGGACAGGAACACATCGACAACGCGGTCGAGATCGATGAGAGCTCCTGACTCCTCGTTGGCGAGCTGCGTAGCGAATTCGGCACCCTTTTCGGGGTTCACACGAACGATGTGCTGCAGCAGCTGGGTGTAATCCGGCTGGTAGCCAACCTGCTTCGAGTACGCGAGGATCTTGTCAAACTGGCCCGTCTCAGCAAACCCGGCAATGACCTTCTGAGATACATTGGCCTGGAGATAGATAGACAGGGCCAGGTTCATGTCGTAAGGACGGACAATATCACCAAGCTCTTCGGAGGCTTCCAACTTGTTTTCGCGCATCCACTTCTCAAGAAGGTGCTTCCTGTTCTGCTGCAAGACAGGGCGGACCAGCTCCACACTCTCGTACTTGTTCAGGGAGCCCTTGTCCAGCAGCATACCGAAGTATTGGAGAATGACAGACATCTGACCCGTCTGGGGGGCGTTCTTGAAGCGGTTGATGGTCTCCGGGGTGCGGAGGAAACCGCGGGGCGAGTTCGCAGCAATCTTGGCAGCCTCGGAGAAGTTTCCTTGGGCGATCAGGTTGTCGAACTGCTGCTGATAGAGGTGATCCGCTCCAGGAAGACCTGCCTTAGAAGCAAGCTTGACTGCGAGGCCGGACATGGCGGGGTTCTCCATCAGATACTGGATGATGTTGCTCTCATCGACACTAACGGACAGAACTTGGCCCTTGCGGTTAACACCGACCAGACCAGCAGAGTCGGAATCAGGGGCAGTGGTGAAGATGGTTTCGCTGGAAATCCGGTTCATGAAGATGCACGTGCCGGTCTCGAGATCGTAGAGGTGAATAAAGCCGTACTTCGTGACGAGATAGACGATGTCGTACTTCTTGGAAACTTGCATGGCGACAGGGAAGTCATTGACAGCCTCCTGAGGGAAGTATACCTCCACTGCCTTCTTCTGGAACCGTGGGTTCGGCTCCTGGTGGTCGATCTCGGCGATCTGCAACTTGGCACCGGTCGGCGTTCGGACGGCGAAGGTGAACAGCTTGTGCTCGAGCGGAGAGCCTTCGACCCGAATGGAAGCGAAGGCAGCAGCATGACCCTCGATGAATTGGGAGATTCCGCGCTCCTTGGAATAGAGCTGCATCGAGCCCACCACACGTCCCTGCTGCTGGCTGATTCCGACCACTACCATCCACTTCTCATCTTCGTTGACGCGGTAGTTGATAATTTGACATCCCTAGTCGCGATGCTGTTAGTCCCATTGGAAACCTATGTCACAAGCTCAGAGATACCTACACTGAGGTTAGGAAGACGGTCAAAGATCTTCAGAGGTTGTGTCTGAGTCGGGTCAAAGACATCCCAGTGGTATACGGACTGTTCCGTGACCAGACCCAGACACTTCTCGCTGAACCACTTCCAGTACACGATATCCTCATTCATCACCGACGACTTCAGCTTCTGCTTCGCCGCCAGATCAAAGATCTGGATCGTGCGACCCTGGGCCTTGAGGGCGATGATATTGCGGTCCCAGTGCATGATAGCGCTGTCCGCGTTGATCGGCCGCTTGATGACCTCATTGTTGTTCTTCAGGTTGATGATGATGACCTGGGGCTTGTCGTCCTCATCGAGCTTTTGCCGGACACACACATAGTGGTCTGATTCTAGAGTCTGTCCAGGGAGGCCAAAGTGTTAGCAAGCGACGGTACTGGTGCGAGGTGGTATTGATAGGACGAAGATGGAACAACTTACGCAAGAGTTGAAACCAATGGACGCAGGCTAGATCCGGAAATGAAATTGAGTCAGTACGCAGGCGAGCAATGGCTGGGGTCAGGAACGGAGTGCCGTCGGCGGGCGCGTTCGCAGATCGGACTAAGGGTGGTTGCCCAACAAAGCAATAACACATACCGCAATTTCAGCCGTTGTCAACTGTCCGTCAGACAGACAAATAGATTAGCTCATGTTTCTCGCGCAAGTTCAGCTTGCCGGCCGGGCACAGGAGGACTTACATTAAGGAGCTCCGTGAACTTGATCGGTAGAGGAGCCATATTTACCTAAGGCCGCAGGGACGACCTCATCCACCCAACAGAACGCCACGCAAAGAAAATGACCGGATAGTGAAGGGAAAGAAAGGCGACAAGTGAGGAATTGAGAGGGAGAGGAGGAGACGTGGAGAATTAGAAAGAGGGAGGAAAGAGAGGTTGCGAGTAAGTAGGGATTGGGAGGAGGGGGGGAGGAGGAGAGGTAAACTGGGGAAGCGGAAGTGACCTCAGGAGGCCGGCGCGGGTGTCGTTGCTGAGGTGTCGCTTATGGCGGCCGTCACGTGTTGTCACGACAGGGGGGGGGCTGTTCCAGCCCGTGCCTGATTTTGATTATCAGACTATTTCAATCTCACCAAGGCTGAGGGTCTTGAATTTCTTGAATCAACTTGAGGCAAGTCGCTCGGTGTATTCATGACTTTCTCTTTCCCAGAGCCCTCATGTGGCACCCTCAATGGCTCAATCTATTCCGGTTGCCTGCCAGTGAAGAGTGTGGTGAGAAAGTAAGCCATCAGGATACTTTGTCAAAGAACAAGCGCATATAGTAATCAAGAGGCCAATTGACATTCACTCACGAGTCTCTAAGTAACCAAATCATAACACGCAAATGCGATATCTCTATACCATACTCACCTCTTGAAATCATCTAAGCTAAGGGTTCTGGCAAGGTCTCTGGACCAGAGTTTGTTCATCAGCTATCACTCAGTTTGTACTCAGTAGTGACTTGCGAAAAACAAATAGATATCAATATATAAGGACCTCCTAGAGTGCTTCAAATTCCAGACTCAATTGGCATGGCTCAATCTCGTCCCCCAGGCCATCTCTTAAGGCCTGGGCAGGACATGAAAGCCACATGGCCGGTTCCATCCGAACGAGCCACAACATCGATGACGTCAGCAAGGGGGCCGAGACCCCTGTTCACCACAATCAAATCTATCACCGTGAAACTGTGTGAATAAGCCAATATCAGATTTATGATATTGGAATCATGGGTACAGAGATAATCTGTGAATTAGCTCAGTGCATTGGGGGAGTGAGTCGTAAATGTGACCCTCAGCGACTTACACAAACAAATCCTATCCCTTCGAAAGTGGGAGATATATATATACAAGTGACCAAGATACTATATGATCGAACAATCCATAAACACAGGCACCCACCTACCTGAGATATGAGGTAAGCTCCAACAAGCTGCCACCGAGAACAAGCAGCAGTAAATGTAGACATCCAGAAGTAGCAAATTGGCAAACTGCATTTCGTTCTCCGCCAAGCATTGTGGATGATAGCTGCGGTAGTAAAAACCCGCCGTCACATCGCAATGAACTCCAAGATAGGTCATCTTCTCTCCTCTCTCAGATTTTAGAACAAGGAAGATAAAGGAAACAGAGTCAAAACTAACGAGTAACATCATCAAACCACTCGATAGGTATTCATGGCAACCCTGTCCATGCGCTACATTCGTCGGGTTCGATGGAACCTACCCGGCAAATTTGCCGAACCACGTGGAATCTATGCATCAACGGCAAGGGAGTGTACAGCCTCGGGCTTGTTCCTAGCCTGCAGATCCTGCGCTGCGATACAAGTGTCTTGGTAGATGATTCTCAACAAGGTACAACTCTACGCCTCGACGCTGTGCACATCGGTCTCATAACAAGGCACTTTTTAAAATTGGGATATCGCTATTGCAGGCCTTTGATCATCACAGTTTCAGGAATAAATCATCGTAAAAACACAACCATCACAGGTGTGATTGTTTGGCATGGACCCGCCCCATCCATGTCACGTTAGTGGTGGAACAGACGGGTACCCTGCTCAACAAAGACAATACCCAGCTTCTCAGAGGTTTCGAAGACGGGACGGTCGTTCTGGCTACCGCTGGGAGCAGCAATGTACTTCACACCCGAGCGGGCGGCACGGAAGACGTTGTCAATGAAGGGGAACTGCGTCCATTGTTAGTTGACAAGTGCCATGTCACGGAAGAATGGGATCAACTTACGAAAGCATCAGAGGAGACAGCAACCTCGCTCAACTTCTGCAGCCAAGACTCACGCTCCTCCGCGGTGAAAGGGGCGGGGACTTCCTCGAACACACGCTCATACTCCACACGCTCGGCCTCGTTGCGAGGGGTCTGACCCGAGCAGAGCAGGTCAATAGCATTGCTCTTATCGGCACGCTTGGTGCCCTGCTTCCACTTGATGTTCAGCACACGGTCGTGGAAGCGCATCCACCAGTTGTCGGCCTTGTCACCAGCCAGACGAGTGCAGTGGATACGGCTCTGCTGGCCAGCACCGAGACCGATGACCTGGCCGTTCAGAGCATAGCACACAGAGTTGGACTGAGTGTACTTCAGCGCGATGGTGGCGACGGTAAGATCGCGCAGGGCGGAGTCAGGAAGAGCCTTCAAGTCCTTAGGAGTGATGATGGTGTTGAAGGTCTTCTGGGGAGAGATGACGACATCGTTGCGGTGCTGGGAGAGCTGCACACCGTACAGCGTGCGAGTCTCCTCGGCAGCCGGAACATAGTTCTCGTCCATCTGGAGAACAAGGTACTTGCCACCCTTCTTCTTGGAGAGGATCTCCAGAGCCTCGGGGGTGTAGCCGGCGGCGATGACACCGTCAGAGACCTCACGGGAGACGATCTTGGCAGTGGGAACATCGACAATGTCACTCAGAGCCAGAATGTCACCGAAGCTGGACATACGGTCGGCACCACGGGCACGAGCATAAGCCTGAGCCAAGCCAGAGGTCTCGATACCCGGAATGTCATCAACCATGTAGACCTTACGCTCCTTCTCGTTCAAGGGGACACCGACAGCTGCACCGGCGGGGGAAACGTGCTTGAAGCTGGCAGCGGCAGGGTAGCCCAAGGCCTGCTTGAGCTCCTTGACCAGAGCCCAGGCGTTGAGGGCGTCCAGGAGGTTGACGTAACCGGGAGATCCGTTCAGGGCCTTGAAGGGAAGCTTGCCCTCAACCATGTAGGCAGAGGCAGGCTTCTGGTGGGGGTTGGTACCGTAGCGGAGAGCCAGGTACTTGTCGCCGTTGCCAGCATACTCCTTGCGGAAGAAGCCGGAGATGGCAGTGTCGTAGTCGGCGGTGTGCTCGAAGGCCTTGAGGGCATAGGACTTGCGACTGGCATCGGTGATATCACCGGCCTCCAGCTCCTTGAGGAACTCAGGGTAATCCTGGGGGTCGGAGAGGATAGTCACACGGGCGTGGTTCTTGGCCGCAGCACGGAGGAGAGTCACACCACCGATGTCGATCTCCTCGACGGCTTCGGGGATGGTGACGTTGACCTTCTTCACCGTCTCCTTGAAGGGGTACAGGTTGCAGACAACGAAGTCGACCTTGGAGATGTTCTGGTCGGCCAGATCCTTCTCGTCGGACTCGATGTCACGAGCCAGGATACCACCGTGGACAGCAGGGTGGAGAGTCTTGACACGACCACCCAGCATCTCCGGTGCATGAGTGATGGCGGAGACATCTCTAATCGGCCATCAGCTCTACCTCTTGCTGAAAACAACGGAAGAGAATATGGCCCCGGTCATGACCACATCAGTATGATGACTCACTCGACAGGGAAGCCCGCCTCCCGAATCAACCGCGCCGTACCACCGGAGGCAAGCAACCGGACATTCTGTTTGACGAGGCCCTTGGCCAGGTCGAGCAGACCAGTCTTATCGTAGACGGAGAGGATGGCTATCAATGGCACACAATGGTCTCAAGTCAGCCTTGAACTTCAATCAATCAACAAGCAAAGCAACAGACAATGCCCCGATGTGGAGACAGCGACCGGCCCATTTCCATTGCGAAGCGGACCGTGAAGCTGCTGCACCCGGGGATACCGAGTGGGAGAGGGCAGAGCAGTGGGCAGAACGTTTCAAACTCACCAGACTTTTGTTGAGACATCCTGAGAGAGAGAGACACTGACAGTGAGACAGACACTGGGAGTAGACAAGTCAGAGATGAAGGAGAGCGATGCTGGAGGGGAGAAAAATGTTCAGGTTGGGAGGAGTGCCCCCCCACAACCCCTCCACCCCTCCAGGTCGAATGGATCAATTGGAACTTGGGAAGTTCCGATGGGCTAGACTAGTGCCGGGAAAGAGTAGTAGCACATACCTCAAACTCCGCGGGAAAGACAAGATGTTGAGCTTTGGGGAAAGGAGTGAAGAGTAGAGATCAATTGAAAAACTCCAGGGGATCAGGAACGGGGTGGTAGGGAGTTTGCCAGGTGTGGCTCAGGTGCAAATTGTTCCAGATAGCTCCAAGAGGAAAAAAAATAGGGAAGCTGAGGGAGGGGTAAAAAGTGCCCATCTTCTTTCTAGGTTGCTTCATCACTGCTCAGTCACTGTTCCCGCCGCGGGGTGCTTCGCCGCTTTCGGACCTGGAGTGGATGACTGTCAGTGGCGATTACTAACTCAGTGCTGTAACTAGTAGTTAACTAAGTGGAAAGCATCTGATAGATCATCACACCTCTGTGCCACTGTGGGTAACTGTGGTGCCCCCCCCGGGCCGGACACTGGCCTTGCCTTTTCAGGTGTGCGCAAAGTAAGGCTCATACTGTAACTAACTAGTACTTAGCTCAATTATGCTAGGTGCATAAGAGTAGCTTACTCATTACAGCTTGCATCGGCAAAGAAGTTCGCCTATCGATCACATGATCTATGCACAGACCACCCACACACCCTACAAAATCCGCGCTTCGTCGCGGCTTCCTCCTTTTCCTTTTTCTTTTTTTTCTTCACATGAACAACGCATTAAAATAACATTCTTAAAAAAAGCGTTCCTACGAGGATATACTTGTATAACCTATGAAGTACGGAAATCGTCAAACAGAATGGAGACAAACTGCTCTATAGCAGAGTGTCGATCTTGGGTGCAGTGCCTGCTTGAACTCCATAGTAGGGATTGCAATGATTGATTCTACAATCCTTTTCGCGCCTCTTGATGATGAGTCGCGTCGTAACACCCAAAAGAAAAGGAAAACAAAAGAAAAAAAGCCAACCCGTAGACATTTCTCACTTCTGCTGGTACGGTCTGGCAGACCTGATGCTGGTGGTAACTTGTCATTTCTATCTAATAGCAGACCATCATGTCCGGACGGGGCATAATGAGGAAATGCATATTGAGAAGGGCAAAAGCCGAGGGCATGAAAATGAGACAAGAGGGGTGTGTATACAAAGGTATTACTAGTGGTGTTCGAATATCGTAAAGAAGAAGAAGCAATGTCTCCTCATCAAGACGCTCACTTCTTGAGCGACTGTTTGCCGGAGTTGCCAATGGCCAATTGCCGGCCAATGTTTCCGAAGCAAACGCAGGCGCAAAACAGAACACTGGCAATCCATGTCCGCACAGCAATGCTCTCCTGTGTCATCCCAATGTCCAAACCGAAGTCCCGCCCCGTGACGTTGGCCAACAGGTGGGTGGGGCTAGAGGGCTCCAGAGAGGATGGCACCAGATCGGGGTTGACGCCCAACACAACGCCCATTCCAGCCAAACCAACCACAGTCGACAAGACGAACCCTGTCCGAGTGCGGTCGATGAGATACCATAAGACAGGGTTCACCAGTGCGAGGGTTACCGAAGCTTGGGTCGTAGATTCCCAGGGTAGTCGACGCTGAGGATCACAAGTAAAGTTAGAGATTCGACGCTTAATGCAAGCCTGAGATGGCACGACTTACCATAGCAAATGCGATTCCGACAAAGGCCCCGACGCTGCGGACCGCCGCCACCCACGACAGTGTGCGTTCGGCAGTTTCCTCGTCACTCGCCGAAGAAGCAGCTCGCTTGCCGTCATTGATCAAGTCATCCGAGAACTGGTCAAACCAGGGGAGCACGTTGCCCAGAATGACCCCCGCCACGCCCCAGAATGCCAGATATTGCCATGATCCGTAGTAATGGACGTTCTCCAGCTTCACCGGAGTGATCCAATGATTCTCGTGCAGGTGGATCGTAATGATCCCGTACACCACGCCGAAGCCAAGCAGGAAGGCGCTCTTCAGCGCCTGGGGGAGAATGACCCCGCGAAAGAGTCCCTGGCTGAGGCGTGACCGCGTCCGCTGCAGCTTCCCCGGTGCTGGCCCTTGGATGACTGGCCGAATACCAGCATTCAGAGCTTCGGGGGTATGAGCTTCCGTGCCCCAAGGCGAAGAATCGTCGCGAGTGCCTTCAAATGCGGTCGGAGAATAAATCCCGACAAGAGTTGGCGATGTCAGATTCATGATCGATACGTTGCGGCTAACGTTCGTCGAACCGCCTTCGCGCGGGTTCAACAGGTCCGGATTGGCTGGCTCAGCCGGGGAGGAGGGCTCTTCGGGGGTGAGGTCGAACGCGCGCCGCGGACGCGGGCGAAGGATCGTGGGCTCATCAGACATGGCAGGCGAAAACGTTGGTGAAGTATCTCGAGTTTAATGAGAGCTGAGAGATGCAATGAATGGCAATCCGCACAATAGAGCAAAGCAAGCAATAGCAGGGGGTTCCTTTTCTCGTTGAATGCGAAAAGTTGTGGACGGAGCTCTAAGAAAGTCAGGCTGGCGCTCCAGTGGCTTTTAAAAGTCAGTCCGAGTAAGTAGAAGTCTGGACAGGCCGAATTGCGCTCTGGGGTATATATGACGATCGTGTCAGCCAACGTTGTGTGCTTCGGGGTGGGGGTTGTGGAAGACGAGCGGCAGAGGATCGGAGAGGAGAAAAGAGAGGGCCAGAGCGTGCTAAATGCTGCAAACACACAGACGGTGGCCAGATATGGAGGGGATGGAAGGAATGCGAGAGGAGGAGGAGAAGACAGAGAGGAGATTGAACCACAAACCGATTGGGTCACTGAAGACTAACTTCAGCAGCTAGTTTCAACGCCTGGGTGGAGCAGAAGCACAGTACGAGGCTACTCGAGTGTGACCGTGGGTGACCGTGGGTGACCGTGGGTGATGGGTGAGCGATGGGTGTGGGCTGGTGGTGGAAATAGGGTGCAGGATCTGCAATGGATCGGCAGAACGAAAGGCAAGAGAGAAGAGAATAGTGTGTCCGGGGGTATAAGTATATTATTCTTCTAAAAATATTTCAAACAAGAACCGCAACAATTGAAAGAATTGCGGATTAGTTTTAAGAAAGGGAAGAATAAATACTAGGTAAAGTGAGACTCAATACTCACGGCGAACGAAGTAAATAAAATAAATAGGTTTGGTAGGAGGGAGGAGGAGGAGGAGGAGGTAGGAAGCAAGAAGTAGGAGTAAGTAACTTAGCCCTGAGTAGGAGGTAAGGTACCGTCCCTGTTAACTTACAAGTTACCACTCACTCACTGTTATTCAGTCGGGAAGCAAACAAGCAAAAACTCACTTCACCCGAACTCAGGAATGTTGGGGCTCGGGGGGAAGTGGAAGGGAAAGAAAGACTCAAGGAGGAAAATCCACCGAATCCACCAAAACCCACCCAAATCCACCGCCCCGACAGAGGGGAAGGAAGCCCACCCGCAATAATCACATGCAAATTGACTGACTGACTGTCTTACTCATGCCTACTCCCATCCTAACTAACTAACTAACTAATCATGAAGGAGGGAATCTTCCCAACAACATTTCAGAACCCGAGTTCTCACCAGTACCTAACTAACTCCCCAATTCTTTCCAATGCAAGTGCAATGCAAATTGCAGAACCAACAGATATTGGTCCTCAGTAACCATCTTACTATCTTACTATCAGACACACAGGATAGCATCCTAGGTAGGATACACAACATATTAACCGGGCATGTGATGACGACGGCGTGTTCTTTGAAAACTGTCAGGCACAGAACCCCAACCTAGGGTCTTTGCCTCCTTGCGTCCCCGCCTACGGTCCCCGTAACATGTGTCAACGTGCTCGTCCCGATGTCGTCAGGGTGCAGGTGTTGCTGAACTAGCCCCATGCAACAACCCCCCAAATCCGAGAGCCATTCCGACTTTCGACGGTACAAATTCCGCCAGGGGGAAAGAGGGAAGAGAATTGAAGGTTGACCCCACCTCTTTCCCCGCAGTATACCTGCACCCTCGTCCCTCCCCGTCACGCTACATCCGGGGCAACTCCGATAAGAGCACAGCAGAGAGCGAGCGCATGCTTTTCAAGAATGCTCCCTGATCTATATCATACAAGAAGCTTCAACCTATCCCGAAGGGGGGGTATGTAGCATTGATGACAGGGAAACTAGAAGGACAATACATGTGGAATTGAAGTAGAAACATAGTTAACCTGTTGGGGGATAATCGTACACTGGAAAACAAGACACAAGGGAGAAAAAGCGAAAAGAGGGACTCGGGCTTGATGAAGCAGGTAAAGAGCAAGGGTCGAATATGCACTAGAGAACCTTCAATCGCAACAAATGCACACCCGAAGTGATTTGATGGAGGCCAGGCGCTTGGAAAGCTCAAAGCCCCAACAAAATCCGTAGGAAAATGATCAGAGATCAGTCATAGTCTCGTCTTTATCATCCGCTAGAACTGTGTCGCCCTCCGCGCCGGCCACCGAAGAGGTCTCGCTGGCAGCATACCCATTGCCACCTTCGAGCGTGGAAGAGTTCTCGTCCGCGTCCACCTCCGCTTCTCCTTCATCGAGATCTTCGTCATCAACTTCTTCGTCGTCATTGTCATCGGATGAGAGACCTTCCGCATCCTCATCTGCATCGCCTGCCTCCATAAAACTATCCTCATAGCCTGGTTCTGTCGGTCGAGACGTGCGAGCCGCTGGTGTCGGAGCGCCGTCATCATCTCCGCTCCCCTCGCCGAGAAGTTCACGGTCAATGTCGTCTAGTCCTTCCTCACCTTCATCGTCATCGCCCAGGTGGGTCGAGCCAGGCATTGGGGAGAGTTCATGGTCACGACCAGGTGCCTCCAGACCATCCTTGGCCGCGTTCGGGGTAGACGCCACTGCGTCTTCGGCATCGCGCTGGGATCGATTGCGGTTAGCTTTTGACCG